GGGACAGGAGGGAGCCCCTGGCCTAGTGGGTGCAAGGGCTCAGCCTTACCCAGGGCTGTGGTGCCGGCAACGGCAGCGCAGAGGGTCTGGACCCCACGGGCGGGTGGCAAGTGGGGGTCCTGGCTCAGGCACTGCTGGCTCAGGGTCTGCACAACAGCCGCATCCCCCGCATCCAGGATGTGGCCCCCATAGAAAATGGAGCCTGCAGGGAGGAGAGGAAAGGACTCAGCACCCCAGCCTGGCTTGGATCAGCCGGCCTGGGACTCAGCACCCCACCTGGCTAGGCAGGCAGCCCAGGCACCTGTGCAGACCCCTGGTCCCCAGGGTGGCGTTACCCTCACCCACCTGCCAGCTCTTGCAGGGCCGCCTCCGGGTTGGACACCACCTGTGAAAGCCGCTCCTGTGCCCGCAGCCCGGCAAAGAGCTCAGCCTCAGTCCTGGGGAGGAGACGGTAGTGTTGAGATGCACCCATGGGCACGAGGGCGGTGGGGATGCAGGGGCCGAGCCAGGCTGTGGGAACTCACCAGAAGTAGTGGGCAGCCTGGGTCCTGCGCCCGTAGTGCTGGCGGTGCAGGAGGGCGGCATGCAGGGCTAGTAGTGGCAGCCCCCGCTCGGGCTGCACCCGCCAGGCCTGCTGGTCCTGGGCCAGGCTGTGGACGCGCAGCAGGGCACCCGGTAGGTCCATCGGCGTCTCGCAGCACACGGTCACCACGCTCTGGCGCAGGGCCCCTGGGGGGCCGGGAAGTGCTCAGCCCTGCCTGGGGGTGCCCAGGGTGCAGTGTGCTGCTCCCATTCCACCCCATAGCTGCTTGCTCCACGTGGGGGGGGGGCCTAGGCCCCAGGCATGGCCTGTTTCCAGCAGGACCCCGGCCTGCCCAGACCCGACAGTCCAGCCACGCTGGAGGGGAGTGGGGTGCAGAGTGGGTTCCCAGCTGGTTGTAGGGGAGCCTGGGGCCTGAAGGTGTGGGGGGGGGGCAGCGCACCTGGCAGGGGACATGGGAGCCGGGCGTCCGCGATGAGCCAGAGGCGGAACTTGGGGTGGAGCTTCTTCCCTTTTGCGGCGACTGCTGCCGGCTTCGCAGGACCTGCAACAGCAAGGGCAGGGCTCGGGTGCAGCCAGCAGCGCCCCACACCCCTCCCAGCCCCTGCAGTGGGCCCAGGTGACGTACCCTGGGAGACACCCAGCAGCTGTTGCAGTGGTGCCAGCATGGCGGGCGGCCAGTGTGTCTGCAGGTGGCAGTTGTCCAGCACCAGCCAATGCCCCCTCCTTGCACAGGTGCCCAGGGCCTCGCCCACCCGCTGCAGGCAGTTGGGTGCCCCCAGCGTGACGACCATGACCTTCCCCTGTGGCAAGCAGAGAGGTGTCACCCAGAGCTGCGCCCACTGAGCTCCCCCAGGCTGTCCCTCGCCTGCCACGCCGACCTCGTGGTGCTGCTGCCGGGCCATCTGCTGGATCCAGTGCAGTGGGTGGGGGGTGGCGGCTGCAGTGCCAGGCAGCGGTGTCAGGAAGAGGATGGGCACGTGGCTCTGGCTGTGGTCATACAGGGTGGCAGCACTGTGGGCAGCCGCCTCGGCCATGGGACGCCCCATCAGGCAGGCAGCCAGGTCAGCGGCCACGCTGCAGAGTTGGCCTGGGCGCAGCACACGCCACAGCAGGGCGCGCTGGAAGGATCCAAGGCCAGCGTGGCTGGGGCCTGGCACAGGGCCCACCATGGTGCAGTGCAGGCGCAGGTACTCCTGCCATGCTGCCGCCTTGCCTGCCAGTGCCACCTGCAGCCCCTGGCAGGCAGGCAGTGCCTCCAATCGCCCACACTCCTCCCAGGCCTCGGCGTCCACCCAGGCTGGGCATGGTGGGGTGCCGGGCGGCAGGGGCAGCAGGCGGGTGGCGGTGGGTGCCCGCAGGCCCTGGCAGAAGGCCAGCCAGGCCAGTGAGGAGAAGTGGCCGTCAAGGCGCTGCAGGGCCACAGCACCGAGCAGGGCCAGCAGCAGCTCGTGGCGCTCCCACAGGCCAGGCTGGGCGTAGGTCAGCAGCGCCCATGCCAGGGCCCTGCGCAGCTCCATCACCCGGGCCTCCAGTGCCTCCTGCCGCCTGGTGCCTCCCCATCTGGTGACCAGCAGGCCACGGCGGGCAGCAGCCAGGCCGGCGGTGGCACTGCAGCAGTAGAGGGGATGCAGGCGGCAGACCTGGCGCAGGGCTTGGTGCAGCGCGGCACCCAGGCGTGCAGCCGGCCGGTACTGCTCGCGTATCGCGCGGTGGCCCTGGCGCAGGGAGCACAGGTGTTCGTGGCTGGGGGGCAGCATCTCCACCTGCGTGTCCAGCAGCTGCACCATGGGGAGGAATGCCTCCGTCTCCAGCAGAGCCTGCTCTGGCGCTGAGATCAGCTGTATCAGCTCCTCCTGCAATGGGTGAGGGGGTAAAGGCTCAGCCACCACTGCTGGGGCTGGGGGGAGGCCAGGGAGTGAGGGCTCCTGACAGCCAGGGCATGGGGGAGCTGCAGCCCTGGTGCAGGCCCATGCTCACCTCGGCACACGCCAGCTCATCCTCCACCTGCAGGACACTCAGCTCCAGCCGGCGCCAGTGGCTCTGGGCCTCATGGCATTCGACCAGCAGCAGCTCCTCCAGCAGCAGCTCCTCCAGCGCCCCCTCACCCAGGCTCAGGTCCACCACGTTCAGGCTGGGCAGTAGGGCTCGCTCCATCTCTGCGGGCGCAGCATAGGGCAGGGCCTCAGGGCCAGGGCTGCCAGCCCGTGTGCACACGTGCACATGCATGTCTGCGCTGCCTGGGAAGGGGGGGGCAGCTGCACTGAGAGCGACCCCCCCCTGCTCTGACCTCACACCCACCCTGGTAGCAACACAAACATGGAAGCCTGTGGCTCGGCTGTCCCACAGGCCCATGCGGCCCAGCACAAGGGGGTGGGGCGGGGGTGGCAGGAAGCCAGGGCTTGGCTGGAGCAAGGGGGGAGATGAGACCACATCCCCCAGGGCAGCCATGGGCCCTGAAAGCAACAGAGACGGAGAAGAGATGGTGTAAAGGCGATGCGGCCAAGGGCTGGAGGAGCCTAGACCAGGTGTGGCCAGCACACAGGGCACTGCAACAAATGAGATCAGCTCCTAAAACGAGTCGTGCCCAGCCTGTGTGGTGGCAGATGGCCAAGGAGGTTTTGGGCTGCATCAACAGAAGCATCAGGCCCAAGATGTGGGAGATGACAGTACCAGTCTATTCGGTGCTGGTGTGGTCTCATCTGGATACTGGGTGCAGTTCTGGGTTCCACATTTTAAAAAGGATGTGGAAGAGTGAGAGGGTCCAGAGGCAGCTACAAGGATGATGAAGGGCTTGAAAGGCAAGACCTACCTATGTGGAGAGGTGGAAGGAGCTAGGCAAGTTCAGCTGGGAGAAAAGGCGCTGAAGAGGGGATGTGGCAGCAGCCTGCAAATACCTGTAGAGCTGTGTGGCGGAGCAGCTTTAGTGCTTTGCCACTTTAAGGGCTGGAGCAGCCAGCAGCCAGGTGTCTGACAAGGGTGGCCATTTTGGAGAGCTCTGTTATAAGAGCAGAGCAGTTTGTGTTCAGTGGCCCTGGGAGTAACATTGTCCAGTGCAGCTCCTGCTCCAGGGATATCTTGGAGGTAAAGGCAAGGCTACGGGGAAGGAGGATGCCTCATTGGTCCTGGACATGACCTGAAACTGTACCCTGCTGGGATAGGGTGGCCTGGTGGTCCTGCCTGTAGTGGGGCAGGGCCACTTAAATGCTAGGTTCAAGAACCATCCCGGTGTAAGGCGGGTTGGGGTGCCCAAACCCCTGCCCCTACCTTCTGGTAGGCTTTGGAGGCAGTTCAGGGCCGGGCACACAGAGTAACTGCACCTGAACCCTGTGGGGGTGGTAGGCCCTGGAGGTGGGCCAGGCACAGCAGGAGAGCGCTACCTGAGCCTGCAGAGGTGTTCTACCTCAAGCCCTGGGAAGAGGGGGGAGTGGTGGGCCGGGCAAGTGGAGTGCCACCTGAGCCTATGGGGGTTGTCGACCCCAAGCCCGAATGGTTGGGTGGAGTAGTGTGGCAGGCAGTTGATAAGGCCTGGTGTGTGCCACCTGACTGGAGGCTGGATGCTAGGCCGGACATGAAAGACCCAGTGTATGCACTAGAAGGGAGGCCAGGTGCTAGGCCTAGAAACATCTGCAAGACATGGGACATGGGTAGGGATGGTTGGAGTATGTACGTCGGGCCCATGACATCAGGGCAGATCGAAGGGCAGCCTCCTGCCTATTAACATCAGAACCATAGGACATCAAGGCATGGCAGGCGGAAGAGGCAAGCAGTTGGCCCAAGGACAAGGTCTCTCAGCGGAGCCATGAGCTGGCTCCTTTTGTCACAAGCTGCCATAGAGAAGATGGAAAGCAGCCACTCTTGTTGCAGACCAATGGCTTGAGGTTGCAGAAAAGCAGGTGTGAACTAGATCCCAGGAAAAGCTTCTCTGTTAGAGCAGCAAGACCGTGGGACAGACGCCAGGGAAGCGGGGTCTAGCAGAGGCTGGGCAGAGACGACCTAGGAGCAGTGTTGCCTGCAGCGTGCTGGGCAGGGTCGTGCCCCTTGGCTTGGGCAGTGAGCCGTGCAGCGCACAGCATTCCCTGTGTTGTTGCACCAAGAGGGTGGCAATGGGTTTGTCTGGGGAGGTTTGGATGGGGATTTTCGCCTCAGGCCAGGACTGGACCGAACCTCCAGGAGCCCTCACCCCCTGGCTTTCCCATGGTTCTGTGTGTGAGGGTGCACTTCACAAATTTGGGGTTGACACCAGGTTGGTTCGAGTTGCAGAGACTTGGAGGGTGGGGTGGGGAGTCCAGTGACCCAGATGGACTGGAGATTTGGGCCACAAGCAACCAGGTGAGATTGCACAAGTACAAGTGCAACGTCTGGCACTGGGCCAGGACCACCGCCTGCACAGAGACAGTCTGGGAATGACCAGTCAGCTTGCAGAGCATGGCCTGGGGGTCTGGCGGACCACAAGCTGCATGAGCCAACACAGTCGATTCAGTTGGCACCTGACGATGCCAACTGTAAAGGCATCGTCCTTTACAGAGTGCCGTGTATGCGCCAGTCAGTTCTCTGACGGCTGCCGAGTGCAGCACGCAAGTGACCGTCCTGCCCAGAGGTGGGACACAGCCATGCGCCAGCAGATTCTTTCCTGCTCTGACGCTGGTCGTCACAAACCTTATTCCAGTCCCTTGCAGACCCTCGCTCCATCTGCCAGCTGACTCTGCCAGCCAGAGCGGCATCCTGCACTCCTTTCCCAATCACCCACAGAGATGCCACAGGATGCCCAGTCGTCTTTGCCAGCATCCCAAAACCTGCACAGTGTCCGCCTCTCTTCCTAGACCCTTCACAAGCTTCAGAGGACAGCCCATTCTTCAGGATCCAGCATTCACTTCACATGACCAAGCTACCCGAGTCTTTTCTTACTAATCCACATTCCCATGGATGACAAACCACGCGATTCAACGCATCCACATTTGTCACCCTGTCTGGCCATCTTATTTGAAGAATTTTACGCAGGCATCAGATATGAAAGCTGTTTAGTCTTTTGGTACGTTTGGCACAGGTCACCTACATTTCTGAACCGTGTAGAAGAGTGGATAAAACACACGTCTCATAAATACGGATTTTCACTTTAGTTGACAGCTTCTGTTCCAGGGTCTGTGTTGCAAAAGATCAAAGTTTCTGGCTGCTTTGCTGATCCTCCTAGCGAGCAAGATCTACAGTGCTGGTAACAGCAGAGCCAAGGTGGAAAAACTGGTCAACGACATCCAGACAAGTACCATCTAGGGTGATATCTGGAACTGGCTCTGAGGAACCTTGGTGCGTGACAAGTCTCCTTCTAGCTTACTGCTAGCCCAAAGGTTTTGCATGAATCAAAGGACTTGGCAATGAGATGTTATGGTTATTACAGTTGCTTCTGTCTCCTTTGCTTTTGTAGAGTTGGATGAAACGAGCGTCCTCAAAATCTTGCGGCGCAGTTCCTTCCTTCCAGCAGAGCAGCGGGACCTCATGCAACCGCTGCAGCAAGTCTTTGTTTGCGCATCTGTAAATCCCAGCAGGTAAACGGTCAGGTCCCAAAGCTTTGTTACTGGGAAGCTTTTGGATGCATTGCTCAAGTCCCTTCAGTGTAGGTTTGGCATCCAGCGAAGTAATCACTTCAGACCCAGGCAACTGGTCTAGCAAATGTTGGCCAACTACAGACTTCCTCGAGTATATCATTCCACATTGCTCAATCCACCTCTCCAGTTGCTTCCCCTTATCAGTCATGATATTACCCTCCAAGTCTCCCAACGAAGTTGTCCTGTACTTTGTCAGTCCAATGACCTTTCTAATGCCCTCATACAACTGTCTACTGTGGCCTGCGTCAGCTGCCTGTTGGGTGCTGTCGCAGAGACCCATCCAAAATTTTTGAGCACGCCTCCTGGAAGCTGTTTGAACAGCCTTAGGAGCTTCTCTTAGGTTGTTGAGTGAATCAGTAGTAGGAGTAGACTTGTGGGTGATTAAGGCAGCTCTTTTCCTCTCAACGGGTGGCAGCCGTCCCTCCGAGTGGTCTACAAACCAGTCGACACTTTTCTTAGTATTCTTTCCAAAACTCTTGGTTGCCACGTTGTACACGCTTGTCTTCAGGACTTCCCACGCATCTATCTGGTGCAGTCTCATTCGTTCCCGCTGACTTTGCTTCTTCTTCATTGAAAAGTCATTTCTTGACAGGATCATTGATTTGGCACAAGTCAACGCGAGCTTGTCTGGCAGGTTTATTGCGGTGGATCTTCTTAGCTTCAAATTTCACTTTGCGCCAGACAAGGGACTGGTCCGTGTCACAGGCGGCGTTGGGAAAGGATCGTGCATACGGGATCCCTTTCAAGTTGTATGCCTCTTGTCAGTACCAAGTCTGGCTGGTGTTGTCAGGGGTTGGACCTTGGTGTCTCCACAATGGTCTTCTTCTGATGTTACCAGCAAAGAAGGTGCTGGTCACTGATACGCCTGGACTGGCACAGAACTAAAGAAGTCTCTGACCATTGTCGTTCATACGCCCAATGCCATGCCTATCCAGGATCCCTGGCCAAGTGTCAGCATTGTACCCAACGCTTGCATTGAAGGCTCCAGGTAGTAGGATGTGCTCCTTCCGTGGGACCCTGCCGAGCAGTTCTTCCAGCCGTTGCCAGAAGCCGTCCTTCTTTCTCCTCGTCACTAGCCGGCAGAGTTGGAGCGTGGACACTGACGAGGTCGATGAATCCCTCCTGCAGCCTAACGAGCAGTGTCGTGCTACGTGTGGATACTGCAGTCGGGGCTGAACCACGCAAGCTCCTTTCTGCTTGCAAGACTTACACCGTGCTCTCTCCATCCTCCTTCGGGTCTGCTCTGGCAGTAAATGGTGCAGTCCTCCTTTATGAAGCCTGTGTCTTGGAGCCAAGTTCCCGAAAGAGCTGCCATATCCATTCTGAAACGTGCAAGCTCGTTACTTGACGCAGCCGTTTTCCTCAGGTCCGAACCCAGATCAAAGTCATGCCCAGGGCTCAAAGTCCAAATATTCCAGCAAGTGATTCTGTTTAGAAAACCAGTTCAGCCAGGGGGTAAGCAGTGAGGCAGGGCCTTTTGGACCCACCTTTTCTAGGGCCACCCTCATGCGAGGCCAGCATGCCAGAGGGCCTCAACAGGGCTGCTTGGAAATCTTGGCAAGCTGCCTTAAGGCCATTATGCTTCTCTTAGATCCCTGCAACCACCTTGCCAAGACCTTCAGCGTATACACCTAGGCAGAGTTATGGGGCTTCAGGGGCTGCCGTGCATGTCCAGGGCAGGGATTCTCCTGCTCCAGTCAGCCCTGGGGAGGCCTCCCCTGGAGCCCGGGGTCCAGGTCTGGGCCCCACACTTCAAGGACGTGAACAGGCTGAACACATCCCAGCACAGGGCAGCAAACACGATCGAGGGCCTGGGAGGCAGGAGCGAGGACAGGTGGAAGAGCTGGGGTGACTGAGACCAGATGATCTCGCGAGGTCCCTTCCAGCCCTAACGTCTCTATGTAATCTATGAGAAGAGAAGCCTGAGGGTGATCACAGGCTGCACGTCCCTGACGGGCGACGACAGAGAGGCTGGAGACGGGCAGTGGCAGGGGACGGGACGAGGAGCAATGGCCTCCAGCTGCAGCCGGGGATTTGAGGCTGGAGATGAGGAGGAACGTCCTGACTAGCACAGGCTGCCCAGGGAGGGGAATGGAGTCTGTACCCGCGAAGGGCCGGACAGACACCTGGCTGGGAGGGTTCGGGCAGACCTGGTGCAGCAGGGCTGGGCTGGATATGACCCCCAAGAGTCCTGCCGACCCAACTGGTGGGTGCCCCAGGGCCCGAGGGGCAGGCGCAGGGCACAGACGCATGCCTCTCGCACCTGGGCCGAGTGCTGGGGTGGTGACATGCGGGACAGGCCGTGTCCCTGCAGAGCCCGTGAGTCTCGGGCACACGAGGCACCGTGTAGCACCACCACGACGCAGGCAGGCATGACCCTGGACACGCACAGTGCTGCATGGCCAGCAGGGACAGGGAGGGGTCAACGCTGGCACATGCGGCCCCAGGTGGGGACCGGGCAGTGCGGGGGCAGGAGCAGGGGTGGGACGGCTCCCTGCACATCGCGCTGGGGCAGCAGGGTGGGGAGCCCAGCTGGGCAGTGCCGCTGGCTGCCCCGAATCCAAGCAGGTGGCTCAGACCCCGGCTCCAGGCCGTGTGGGGTGGGCAGCCCGGAGCCCTCACCTTGGCCCAGGGTGTGCAGGGGCAGGCTGGTGCTGAGGTAGAGGCGGAAGGAGGGCAGCATCTGCACGGCCTCGCCCGGTGCCAGCTCCGGGCCCGCCTCCTTCTGCAGCAGGCGCTGGAGGATGGGGCTTTCTGGGCTCTTCTCCGCGTGCAGCAGCAGGATGGGCAGACCTGGGGAGAGGCCTGGCGTCACCCCGGGTACCACCCGCACCCCTGCCTGTGCCTGGTGTCCCACTCAGCCTCACCGCTGCCGGCGGCTGCCCGGAGACTCTCCTCCAGACCGGGGTCCATCGCCGACAGCACCTGCAGCGTCTGCTCCGGGGGCTCGGCGGCACTGCTGGGCTCTGTGGTCTCCAGCCGCACGTCCGGGTTGGCGCAGGCCTCATCTGCAAGGCAGCAGAGACCTGCTCAGACCCCCAGCCCAGGCCCCGGAGACCATGCATGCACGAGTGGGGTTGCAGCTGTGTCGGGGAGGGAAGGGGGTCTGGCTGGGACTCCCAAGACCTACACTGGCCTGACTCACCGTCCTTGGCCCGGGGAACGGTGCTGAGCCAGGTGAGGGCCTGCTGGTCGGGGTCGAGCAGCAGTGGCCAGCGGCGGGGGCAGATGCGGGCAGCGGCATGGAGCAGCGCGGCGGCTTGGCGCGAGGCCGGGTCCTGCGGCTTGCGGTCGCGGTCCCAGGCACGCTG